AATCAGGAATGGTTGTATTACAGGCTTCATTTAAAGTGTGTGTATAGTGTACACACACACATGCACACACACGCACACACTCACGTGTGTGTGTGTAAGTTGTGCATACATATGCATGTAAATATATGTCTATATGTACACACAAAATAAAAAAAAAAATTCAGTTGGTTTTTTTTTATACCTGATCCTTCCTATTAACAACAAGACTCTTGCTACTTTATACTCATATTTGTAAATGTTTACTAAATTTCAATTCTATAAGGTTTTTTTTCAAATTCAACTTTAAAGAATATTCTGTGTTAAGAATAATATAAAAAGATATCGTGCTCTACATCATGAGCGAAATGTACAGGTGTTGAAGTGTACTGACTCACTGGGAATCAAAGTATCCCATTTCTAGATGACTGACCAGTATAGAAGGCCAGCATATTTTTCAAAACACAGAAATATCCTTCAAAAAGCCAGAACTAGACTGTCACAATGATGAGTAAAAGGATCATTTAAAATTCATTCACCAGATTCAAGACGTCATCAGTTTAGTCAAATTCCCAGCTCTCATCTAGTATTTAAATTCCTTTACTGATAGCCAGGATACTATTAAATATAAATGTCTTGTGACTCCCACCAAAGCCATGAATTATTAAGCTACATTTTGTTGCATAAATGCAATAAAGTCCTAATATAAAGTCTAGATAGAGAAGATATAGTACAATAACAAAGCAGAGACCCATCAGGGATCTCTTACACTGTAACAGATTACGCATGATTTATGGTATCAAATTGGCTGTGAAATACTATTATTCATTCAAGCACAAAACTCATGTCGGTCCGACTTGGACATAGTAGAAGCAAGCTCTTACTTTCAAGACAGGATCAACACAGAATAGTAATTCTCTGTTCCTGTTACTGACAAAATGTGTGACAAGATTCCTCAAACTATGCTTTACAGTATTAAATACAAAATAAAAAATTATGTAATCAATTGCAAGTCAAGTCCAGTATATAATTTTCCGGTTTCACTCAGCCACTTGAAGTCTATATGCACAGATCTAGTTATATTTGGATTCTAAATGCAATAGGAGGATTATTTGTTTTTTAGCTCCATTTACAGAAAAGCAATATAAGTGATTGTTTTTCAATGTCACCCCAAATCAAATACTTTGGTCAATCAAAGCATCCAGAGGCTGCTAAACGCAAAGTACATAAACTGTTTGCCTTAAAGGCCCTTATTCTTCAGCTGAGTCCACGGGGGAGCACTTTGCACCTGCACTATATTCCAATGAAGTCCATCCACTAGGATATAACTGAACAATTGGGACACAAATGTAAAACGTGACAAATACCATGGCTTATCATTAAAAATAAGGTAATTTGGGAAAAATATTCATTTATTTATGGGATTAATGGAGGTATAAGTTATCTCGAGTAAAGATATCTTAGAATGAAATTTCCCCTAGCATCATGACAACCATGAGACGTTGGTGGCCACTGCAATGTGGGTCAAAAGCCACTGGTGGCACCATGTGGGAAAGCATACCCCGTTCTTAATTATGCTGTATCCATTCTGTACGTAGGGCTTTGACATTCAAGGCTGTCAAGTTAATTCGAACAAAGGGCATGTCTACTATATAATGACCATGTATCCAAGCTAGGAGAGCCCAAACCACACCCTGCCCACTTACTGCTGCACATACACTCCAAACTCAGAAGTGTGCTGGTGAAGATGTTCTGAGACATCAGTCTGTGGCCAGTCCCGAGATCTTGCTTTCCAATGCACTCTTAGGGATGACCCTGGAACCACTTCACAAGTGTGCTTCCAAGTTTGGAGAGTGTGTGAAAGCATGGGTAGGTGAGATGTGCTTGGACCCACTCCAATCAGGAGACATACTCCACATGAACTTTACACACACACAAAGACAAAAAAGCACACAAGGTTGGCCTTGGATACTGTTTGCCATGTCTTGATTCAGTAAGTTCTTTACATTTCAGAACACACTAAGGTAGAATGATTCATTCCTGAAATACTTGTGGTACAACAAGAAAGCTGACAAACCCTTAAATTAAAGGCCCCCATCTACATGTTACACTTAAAGTGTAATTAATAAGTTCCAGCCACATGTTCAATCAATTAATGGAGTGATTAAAAAAAAGGAATATGCTGCAAAGTTATTCCACAAAATATGTGGAATAACTGCAGCTGCTTCTTATCACTCTATTAATTTAACACATGGCCAGGGGCCCCTGTGGCTGGGAGCGCCATCAGCTGATCAGGAGCACCCCTGCAGCTTGAAGCTTGCACCCATCAGCTGAGGGAGCTCCCAGCCACGGGAGCCTGCTTCTCGCTGATGCAAGGGGAGCCCTATCCTGAGCTCCCCCTGCACTGGCAATAGTGTGATGGGATCCGATTCGCAACGCCAAATCACGCCTCTTCCCAGGCACAACTGCAC